CTAGATGTTAAAATCCCAACACTTGAGAGATAAAATACATATATCTTGTTTATATGTTGAAATCCCAACACTTGAGAGAGATAATACATATATCATGTCTATATGTTTAAATCCCAACATTTGAGACTCATTATACATATATCTTGTCTACATGTTGAAATCCCAACACTTGAGGGTCATTATTGAAAGATTTTTTCTAGACGTTAAAATCCCAACACTTGAGAGACATTATACATATATCTTGTTTATATGTTGAAATTCCAACACTTGAGGGACATTATAGAAATATCATGTCTTCACGTGAAAATCCCAACACTTGAGAGACATAATACATATATCTTGTTTATATGTTGAAATCCCAACACTTGAGGGACATTATAGAAATATCATGTCTAGATGTTAAAATCCCAACACTTGAGAGATAAAATACATATATCTTGTTTATATGTTGAAATCCCAACACTTGAGAGAGATAATACATATATCATGTCTATATGTTTAAATCCCAACATTTGAGACTCATTATACATATATCTTGTCTACATGTTGAAATCCCAACACTTGAGGGTCATTATTGAAAGATTTTTTCTAGACGTTAAAATCCCAACACTTGAGAGACATAATACATAAATCTTGTCTATATGTTAAAATCCCAACACTTGAGAGACATAATACATACATCTTGTCTATTTGTTGAAATCCCAACACTTGAGAGACATTATATATATATATATATATATATATATATATATATATATCTTGTCTAAATGTTAAAATCCTAACACTTGAGAGACATAATACATTTATCTTGTTTATATGTTGAAATCCCAACACTTGAGGAACATTATAGAAATATCATGTCTTCACGTTAAAATCCCAACACTTGAGAGACATAATACATATATCTTGTTTATATGTTGAAATCCAAACACTTGAGGGACATTATAGAAACATTTTAATTCTTGTCTGGATGTTAAAATCCCAAGACTTGATAGACGTAATACATATATCATGTGTATGTGTTGAAATCCCAACACTTGAGAGACATATTACACATATCTTGTGTCTGTGTTGAAATCCCAACACTTGAGAGATATAATACATGTATATTATCTATATGTTGAAATCCCAACACTTGAGGGACATTATAGAAATATATCATGTCTAGACGATAAAATCCCAAAAATTGAGAGATATAATAGATATATCTTGTTTACACAAATATCTTTTCTATATGTTGAAATCCCAACACTTCAGAGACATAATACATATATCTTGTCTACATGTTGAAATCCCAACATTTGATGGTCATTATAGAAATATCTTGTCTAGATGTTTAAATCCCAACACTTGAGAGTCATAATACATCTTGTCTATATGTTAAAATCCCAACACTTGAGAACACTAAATGAGTCATTATAGACGTTTTTACAAGACATATATGTTTGTTCAGCAAAATAAAATGTAAATATAAATGTAAGTATTTAATTATACTTCGTTTCTAATAGATTATTTACAACTGTATCGCCAGTGTTATTTTACTTTATGCTTTTTTGTCCGTTTACTTTCTTTATCGTCCGCGAGTGTCCTAGCTATATATGCACGTAAGAATAGTTTTAGATGAAGACGTAAAAAATGTCTAACTACCCTTACCATTTATTGCAATATCTATAAGAAGAAAGAAATTTTTGAAGGATAATGGAGTAACAATTATGAATGTATCATATAAAATATAAATGTATCTATAATAAAACGTAATAAAAGTGACATAAAATTCAATCTTTTTTTTAATTCTTTCAAAGCACTATTAACTAAATGTATCAGATTTCCATTATCACGGATTTTAATTGTAAATTAAAACACGTACCATTATATCCAATCATTATCAAGCTACCATCGCCAAATTAACCATCTGCTATTTATATCGTCCGTGTTTCGCTCTTTCTCTATAATTATTGTGAGCGTTTAGACTGTGCCATTGTATACACTCAAGTGTTGGGATATTTTGTTCCTGAAGTGTTAATATATAGCCAATTCGGCTCACTGTTCATATCCTCATTCCATGGTGGTGACTCATCCCGGCTCCTCATAAATTCTACACGTCGTGAAAATAATGAATTTCTATGGAACGCGTTATCCGTCAAAATAAAAAATTCCTCCTTGCGCGCGAAAATCCTCCAAATGAATTTGCTAGCTAGCTAGACTTAAAAAAATACACTGATGCATCAGATTTAAACACATAAACACTATATCTATTCCTGGATCCTTTCAAATCCTTCCAAAACATCCAAAAATGAATATAAGTGGTGAAACAATACTTATAGATACATCTATACGTCGGCGATCCTAAAAGAACGTCGTCGGGATTCGAATCCTCTCCTCGTATCCCTCTAGGAACTTCGTTTCTGGCTCTGTAAGGAGCAGAGACTCTCCAAAAGATACCACTCGTCCTCCTTAGATCTGGACTCTTCAGATCGCCGTGACCATCCAAAAACCACACTGGCCACCAGTGTCACAGGGTCAAATATTTCCGGTGGAACAGAAACAAAACTCTGGGCGTAGGTTCGATGTTTTTAATGAATCCAATAAAAATGGTCTAAAAATATAATAAAATAATTATACATCTTACAAATACAATACATAGAAAAACAAAATACAATGAAATAACAATATATACACAATCGACGCGGAATAAGAAAATACAAAAATACATAAATAAGATTACAATCAATATGTTAATCTTAATACTATTTCTTACCACAGCGTCTGTAATTAAACTATTTCAATATAAATTGAAATAGGTAAAGTAAATGTAGATCTATATAAATGTTAAGTTTTTACTATGTCTGACTCGTAAGAGATGACTGTAAAGAGTGAGCGGGACAGGAAAAGCAAACAGTGCGCAGAAGTAAAGAATATTTAAAAGAACCAATGGATATCTCTCTCACATAGAATCATACATAACAAACACAACAATTGGATAAGTTACAAGAAAGAAAGAGTGACCAGTGTTCACGATATTGCACGGGTGAGATCGACAATGTACATCATTGACGGAAATTGTCGATTTTCACCGATTCAATACCGGAAGTTAAACTTATACGATAAAACCTAAACGAAACCAAATAAAAACGCGCGTGCACGATGTTTCCGCTTAAATAAAACTATGGAAAGTCACGGCTGCCATTACCATATAATTTCAATCTGTGACATGTGTATAGTAAAAACTTAAAAAATCTTCTTTTAAAAAACCCAATGAGCTAGAACTTAGATGTTTAGCATGAAACATCTTCTTATAGGTGTCTACCAAGTCTGTTCAAATAAAAGCCCTTGGGTAAAAATTGGCCCGGGGGGGGGCTATATACAGGTGAGTGACCTCAGGGCCATCATGGCCCTCTTGTTTTTAGTTATTGCCCTTTGTTATTTTTCAAAATTAATTTTTGTCCAGAGCATAACTCAAAAAGCCTTTGAGATATCAACATGAAACTTCATAGGTGCATAGATCTCACTCAGGAGGTGTGCAGTGCACAAGAATGATAACTCTAACTTTCATAATTTTTGAGTTATTGCCCTTTGTTATTTTTCATACCTAATTTTTCACCCGAGTGGAGCATAACTCAAAAGTGTTTGAGATGTCAACATGAAATGTCATAGGTGGATAGATATTATTGAGGAGGAATGCTGTGCACAAGAATGATAACTCTTCCCTATACAATTTTTGAGTTATTCCTCTTTGTTCTTTTTCATAATATTTTGTCCGGAGCTTATCTCAAAAAGTATTTGAGGTATCAACTTGATACTTCATAGCTGGATGGATCTCATTGAGGAGGAGTGCAATGCACAAGAACGATAACTCTACCCTGCATAATTGTTTAGTTATTGCCCTTTGTTATTTTTCAAAATTAATTTTTGTCCAGAGCATAACTTAAAAGGCCTTTGAGATATCATTATGAAACTTCATAGGTGCATAGATCTAACTCAGGAGGTTTGCAATGCACAAGAATGATAACTCTACCTTTTATAATTTTTGAGATATTGCCCTTTGTTATTTTTCATACTTAATTTTTCAATTCAATTTCTTTCTTAAAAGTATTTGAGGTATCAACTTGAAACTTCATAGGTGAATAGATTTTACTGAGGAGGGATGCAGCACACCTACCCTGCATTATTTTTCAGTAATTGCCCTTTGTTATTTTCAGCCATCAGTATTCACATAGGTTTCAAATCTGTAATCACTATAGCCATCAGTTTTCATTACCAAAAGACCTTAAAATGGAGTTATTCTGCTCTACTACATATACATTCTTCCAATGAGCAAACACATTCGGCGGGGGATGGCCATGTTGACATGGCTCTTGTTGTACACATTGCAAAGGCATCATAATCAGTACTGAAAAAAATGAAAAATATAAAATCACTCAATTCTAATAGTGAAAAAAAGATCTCCCTGCACATTCTATGTGATCTAGCCTATAAAAACAGATGTGTGCAAGCACAGCATTGCCATAGTGTAATAGCATAATAGCTTGTTTGCAGGACAGGCCCGTACTTGGGGCAGGCTTGTTCTTAGTTCAGCTTGTACATTGGCAGGTACTGTTTTTAGTTTGGCTTGAACTGAAGCAGGGTTCTTCTTACTTGGTTTTAAATCTAGGCAGGTTTGAAACTGACATCGATAAGCCTTTGCCACCAGTATAGAGCCAGGACATCATGCATATCCATAGAGTCTGACCAGGCTCTATAGAATTGGTAGTTATATATTGATATTGAATTCCCTTGAGATATGAAGCAAGTGTTGCCAATTCAAAGCAAGGAAAATCTGTAACACAAGTTAAGCAGATTACAGGCTAATGAATAATAAGTAGAATTGCTAATATTATTTTAATCCCTCAGTACAGGTTTTGAAAAAAAATCTTAAAATTTTATTAAAGAGAATATGATTGAGAAAAAAGTTTTAGAAAGCAATAAATGGTTTTGAAAATTTTAAAGTTTTTGTTATTTAGATGTAGTAGCGAAGTATCGTGACAAGATCAGTTCTATGGAGAAAGACATTGCGGAGATCGAGATACAGGAGAAGGAGGAGCGCGAATTACGCGCCACCGAGAATCAGATGAACAAGGCAAAGAGAATCTTAGAAGAGAGTAAAGACGAGATGAATTCTGAGCAAAAACGTGTCTGGTTCCAGTCTCATAAAGAACGAATTGCAGAAAAAGGTAGAAACTGCTGGGGTTGAAATTTTGGGCGTTGGGGAAGGGATGGTGTAAATACATTAATTTCATAATTAGAAAAACATTCCTGGTTGCAGTCTCATGAAGAACAAATGGCAGAAAAGCGTAGAAACTGTGTGGATTTTGGATAAATACTGTAATATTTAGAACAGAAAACGTTCCTTCTTTCAATAAAGAACAAATATAATTTAATTTTTTTATTACACTGTACTCCCTTTCATGGTAATTTGTAACAGAATTCCTATTTATGACATACATGTAGTCTGAATAAAATGAATTTATTATTGAAAAGATAAGCAAAATTATTTCTGACAATTTACAATAATTTTATTTTAAGCAATTAAATTTTTTCAGTTTTATTATTGTTATATATTATTCTAATGGAAACATTATTCATAAATTAACATTTTCATACATTCATTTATATCAGCTGCTCTGAGACTTGGTGATTATGACACAAACACAGGCAAACAGAAGAAGAAGAAAAAAGACCTGATTCAGACTAAAACTGTAAGCTTCAATATCATATTATCTCATTTTCAGTAAATAAGTTTTTGTTTGCACACATACAACAGTATACACATACGACAGAAATTATTTAAATGAGGCTGTAAATTCTAAACTACTTTTGTCTGTTACCTTGAAAAAGTCAAGCTGTTATGATCGCTGAGCCATTGTCGTACAAAATCTTTCATGTAGCCCATTACTCAAATGAGCCGCGTCACGACAAAACCAACATAATGGGTTTGCGACCAGCATGGATCCAGATGTCTGGATCCATGCTGGTCGCAAACCCACTATGTTGCTTTAGGCGTGACGCGGCTCAAATAGTTTTATAGTCATCAACATGAAACTTGGTTTGATTACTTGCAGATGCAAGACAAAGGGGCATAATTCTGAAACCTATATTTTTGAAGTTAAGCCCCTTTCTTAACTTAGAATTTTTGTCAAAAGTTGTGATTTAATCAGGCGAGTGTTAACACTGCATCCAGTGCATTTGCTTTTGAATTCATTGCTCTTGTGGGAAATTTCTTTCAGAGGTTTTAAGCTCACAATAGTAAGTGTTCAGTTGTATATGTGGGATATCAAAAGTTACCCCATACTTTATCTAAATGTTGTCTTTTTTTTTTTTTGGTCCTTTTTTTGATCATGAATTCCAATACTTTCAGCATTCATGCCAGTGCTAAAGGACGTGAGAGTTATTGAATGATCTCCCCTGGACAAACTCAATTACCGTATATTGCGATATTGAACTCTGTAATTTGGATATTGCTCTAAAGAATTTTTGTAAATTTAGATATTTTTTTTAAATTCCAACACTGTTCATTGTGGAAAGTCAGTTAAACCTGTGTTAAAGACCACCTCCAAATATAGACCATCCTGTAAATAAAGCACTCTTCAACAACCCTTCATTGATTGAATAGAAAATTATAACCTCCAAATAAAGGCCACTTGTCTATAAAGTTCATGTTTGGTCTCTCCTTTGGGTGCCCTTTGTTCACAAGTTTGACTGTATGTAAATTGTCTGAATTAAATATTATCTGTTACTGAAATGTATAAGCCAGATATTATATTAGATACCATACAAAGCAATCATGAAGGGTGACATGTATATTGTAGATTAGTTTAAACATTATTCATATAAGCGTGCTGGTAAAGACAGCTATCAGCATATTTAAATCACTTTTACTGGAAATTACAATGAAGAGTCATGGCCGTGACCAAATTTGGGCTCAAACCCATAATCACTGGGCTGAAAGGCAGACACCTTAACCACTAGGCCACTTAATATTTTAGTTAATTTATTTTGCTTTTTACTAGAAAAGAAATCTTTAATTCTTTTTTATTTTGAAATGGTTTCACAGTCAGAAGATCGTTCCAACTTTGAGATTCAGAAAGCTCAGTTGTATGCTGCAAAATTTGCCAAAAAGTCTTCAAGACAGAAACGTATGAGAGGCAATGATGATGATACCCCTACAGGTAATATATATATAGATCTTGTATCTCTGTTCAGTTTTTTTCTGCTGGCTTGTGATTATGAGACCTACCCCACATTGATGAAGTAATTGTCAGTTGTTTGTTTATTAAAGGAACTCCATCGAGGTTAAAAAGGCTCAAAACACAAAATTTGAAATTCATTCATAAATCATGTGAAGCACTAGAAATGGCAAAATCTGCAATGAATAATAAAGAAATATGCTCAGAAGTTAACTAGAAAATCAATTTTTGTGCCATTCTGAGCCAGATGGAAGTGAAAAGCACTTTTCACTGGATAAGCGAGGTGAAGGAATGATCTGAAAATTTGTTATTGGTCCAGACATACATCAAATGGTACACCGATATCTGTATACTGGCATTATAGGACAATTTGATTTTAAAACACCTGAGCAGGGCACAGTAACCAATGGACAGTTAATATGAAAAATATATCAAAAGTAATATATTTTCTCATTGTTATTTATATCTTTCATAATTGTCATATCCAAGATTATTAAATTCTGAGGAATTTGAATAAATAATTATTCTAAGTTGTATATTTAATAAATCAGGGGTTACCTTATTACATTGATAATTATGTTTTGTAGTCTTTGCTAAGGAAGAAAGTGTGTTTAGTTATTAACAAGTCTAAATATGTTTTATCAAACAATAATACAGAAAAACCTCTGCAGAGCAACTCCCTTTGGGAGACAAATATTTTGGTTGTTACTTAAGAGGTTTTGCTGTACAGAGGTAAAACATCATAGTGGAAATCTTTACTTTGGTAAGGAATAATATTGCAGGGAAGAAATAATGGGGGGGGGGGGCGCTGTGCAAAGGTTATACTGTAGCAAGAATATGAAAGGAAAAAAATGATAGTAGATTTGCTTGTAACTTGTAACATTTTATGTGTAGGTCCATCTCAATCAAAGAAGAAAAAGAAACAGAAAATGAAGTCAGCTTTTGATAAGGAGCTTACAAATACAGGCCGTAGTGCAGTGAGACAATACAGAGCTGGGTATGTGTTACATTTTTAATTTTTGCATACATGGTTATGATTTATAAGCGCAGTGTTAAAAAATATGTGAACAGCATTTAAATTCTGGCATTAAAAAATAAACTGGACACATCAAATTCATGCTTGTTAAATCTGTCTACTAGCTAACTTGAAAGTATATGATTCAAACCAGATATTTGATAACCCTCACATATTTTTTTTTTTAATCCTATCAGAGATTTGGGATTCTTTAAATTTAGGATGCTGTCCATCAACTTTGTTGGAGGTTTTCAGTTTTCATTTTCAATAATCTATATTGCAAATGCCCATATTTGTATTGTACTTTCAACAATATTTGACCATGAAAACCTGTCTTCTTTTTTTTTATCAAATATAAGTAGAAATACAGTATTTATAACATAAAATTTAGATAAATATACCTTTTTTCTTGCCTAATAATAGAATTCAGATATCAAAATATCAAGAATTCATAAAAAGATAAACAATAACTGTACATATATATTAAAATTCTTTACATTTCAGACCATCATATAAAGAAAGAAAGGAACTTGGCCTCCCTGGAAAGAAAAACAAACAGAAAGGCAAAAAGTAATAAGTTGATTTTATTCAACGCATTTTAAATAATTATACAAGTAGTAGCAATTTATGATAAGTATTGATTTTTATAATGTTCATAACCGCCTCCGTGTTCGAGTCGATGACTTCTAATCCAGTTACCTCTCTGGCGTGGGTTCGACCCCCGGGAGATGCTTTGGTAGTTTAGCGCGGAGGAAGGTATTCTAGTACTGGTGTAACTCTTCAGGAACGATGGTTAGGAAACTACCTGCTTATATGACTGAAATACTGTTGGAAAAAGGCGTAAAATGAAACAAACAAACAAATTATAATGTTCATTAAAATAAGATGATAACATATGTTTTAGAGGCATGCATAATGCATATGAGCCGTGTCATGACAAAACCAACATAATGGGTTTGCGACCAGCATGGATCCAGACCAGCCTGCGCATCCGCGCAGTCTGATCAGGATCCATGCTGTTCGGTTACAAATCCTATAACAAGTAGAGAACTGATAGTGAACAGCATGGA